CATGTTTCTTAAACTCCTTTAAAGTAGTTCTCAGCTCTGTTGCACAATGAATAGTGTGTTGGACTTCTAAAACAGTAGTTCTCAAATATTTATGTGTCTCAAAATCACGTGGTGTGGCGTGGTCAGGGGAATGATGCTTATTATAATGAAGATTCACAGGCTCCATAGCTAGAAAGCCTTGTGCTGGGCCCAGGAATCTGCATTTTGACAGGTAATCATGTGATTCAGGTACAGCTGGTCCATTGGCCAGGCTTGGAGGCACCCAATTTGGGGGCATGATTCTAAATCCTTTCTGCAAAACTGACAGTTGTTTGTATGTGTGGTTTCTCTGAGTTTTCTTAAGTGTTTGACACAAATAAAAAAATCTCAGAACTAGTTCAGAGATCAGAGAATTCAACCGTTTCACTTCTTAGATGGGGAAACTAGAAAGTGACTTGGAGAGGTGACATGACTCGTCCCAGGACACAGCTAGCTAATGCTCGAGCCCAGACTCAAACCCAGCTGGGACTGTCATTTGACCATAATCCAAAGCCCGCCTGGTGTTCAAGACTCTCCCAGAAAATTACAACCCATAATTTCACTGACCCTGGTGTGCATGCACGTGGCTTTGCTAGGCAGCAGATGTTACTGAAACGTGTGGGTTGAGTAGTGAGACCCAGCAGCTGAGCCACGTGCTCTGGATGTTCTAAGTCAAGGCCTGCTGGATTCTAGGGTGTTGGGGGAATGTTCTAAAGCTGAGCAATTCAGGAGCAGATGAGGTTACCTTCCTCAACCTTCCAGAGGGATGGAATCTTCTACAGATGCTGGATGTGGTGAAGGACGAGAATGACTTTTTTTTTTAAAGGCTCGGTGGTAGGTACATGAAGATTTCATTGTATTATTATTATTCCTTAAACAGCAATATATTTCATAATGAACAATTTAAAAAGGAAACGAGATGTGAAAAGGAAGGAAAAGGCCTATGAGTGTGGTGACGTGGACACTTGAAAGACCGCAGTCTCGTGGTGGGATGTTGAGGAGACACAACCAACACAAAGTTGATCAGATCTTGGTGTAGTTCTGTGGTGGTAATTCTCATATTTTGGTTTTCATAATCATCTGAGGAGTTGAAGTCGTGTCTCATACCGTCCACCAAGAAAAATTCCAAATATTAACAAACGCAACCAAAATAGAAAACACAAGATAATTATCTTGTAATACCAGAATGATGAAAGACTTTTGAATTACGTCTCAAAATTCAAAAGCCATAAGAAAATGGTTGATGTATTTCACTACAAAAAAGATAAAATCTGCATGGGAAAAAAAAAAGGATCATGAGCAAGTTCAAAAGAAATAGGGAAATATTTGTAACCACATCACAAAAGGCTCATCTGTCCAATATATAAATGAATAAGAGACCAACAAACCAATAGAAATATTAATAAAAGTAAAAAAGGAATTGCTGATGGCTCTTAAGTATATAAATATGGCCAAAATTTACTGAAAATAAGTGCAAATTTATATCTCAGCACACTTTTTACCTATTAGCAAAATTTTGAAAAATTAATTACACATTGTATTGGCAAAACTTTGGAGAAATAAGCTCTCTCATACACTGATGGGTAAGTACAAATTTCTTTTGGAGGGAGATTTGGCATTATCTGTTAAAACTGCAACTATGACCCACTCTTTCAAGAAATTTATTCTACATTGAATGTGACGCAATCCAAAGATATTCACTGCAGCTTTGTTTGCAACAGCAAAAGACTGGAAACAACCTAAATGTCCAACAGTAGAGGCCTGACCAAATAAAATATGGTATATTTGCATAATGAAAGATTATGACTCTATAAAAATAACTTTATGGCTCTTTATGCATTAATATAGAAAGATTCAGAAGAACATATTGGAAAGATACACAGAGCAAATGTGGTTACCATGGAAGGGTACTAGATGAGGAATAGTGTGGAGGGAAAACTTTTCACTGTTTTTCTTTTTCTGTACCTTTTTATTTTTGAAGTATATAAATATCTTATCTATTCAAAATTTAATTTAGCCCGGGTATAGTGAGTCACTCCTGTAATCCCAGCACTTTGAGAGGCTGAGGCAGGAGAATGGCTTGAGCCTTCTGAATTTGAAATCAACCTGGGTAACACGGCAATACCTCGTCTCTACACGAAACACAACAATTAGCCAGGTGTGGTGGGACACGCCTATAGTCCCAGCTACTCAGGAGGCTGAGGAGGGATGATCACCTGAGCCCAGGGAAGTCCAGGCTGCAGTAAGCTATGATTACACTGCTGTACTCCAACCTGGGTGTCAGAGTGAGACCCTGTCTGAAAAAAAAAACAAACAAAAAAACAAACAAACAAAAAAACCAATTACTTAAATAATCAAGGAGCCTGTTAAACATGTATGTGGTTTCCCCAAATATTAACTCTAATGAAATTAAATCTCCAGGAATGAGAACTGCTATGCTCTCATCCCTAAGGGTATATTGAATTATTTCTTTAAAAATGACTTGTGGCTGGGTGCAGTGGCTCAGACCTGTAATCCCAGCACTTTGGAAGGCCGAAGCAGGAGGATCACCTGAGCTCAGAAGTTCAACATGTGCCTGGTCAACATGGTGAAACCCCGTCTCTACAAAAACACAAAAATTAGCTGAGCGTGTTGGTGTGCGCCTGTAATCCCAGCTACTCAGGAGGCTGAGGCAGGAGAATTGCTTGAACTTGGGAGGCGGAGGTTGCAGTGGGGCCAGACTGCGCCATTGCACTCCAGCATGAGCAACAAGAGTGAAACTCCATCTCCAAAAAAAAAATAATAATAAAAAATAAAAAATAAAAAAAAAATACTTGTACTCCTTCAGCTCTAGTTTCTGAGTTTAAAGTAACAATGCAAAGCATCCCCCACATAGGAGATTGAGTATAGAGTGAATCTGCCATCTGCCCAAGTTTTCTAAGATGGATGTTATAATTATTATATGGCTTCCAGAAAACAATTTGTACAATTTATGGTCACGAATGGTTTCCACTTCTCTCTCTCTCTTTTTTTTTTTTTTTTTGCTTTTATATTTTTAAAAAGATTGAAAAAGAAAGAAAACAACCCATTTTGTACTCTGGTTAATAAATGGAGGGAGAGAAAGTCAGCTAGGCATCAACCATTGTCTCCAACCATTATCATCTGCATTTGCGCTCATGGTCTGTCCAAAACGACAGTATATGTTGATTAAAAGACCTCAATGGAAACAAACAAACAAAAATCCCAACCCCATGGCTAAACTGTAAAGTCATCAACAATGGATCTTTTCCGGTATCTAGGAAAGTGGAAGACACAAATATTCTATGGCTCAGCAGTTGCAGTCTTTGGTGTATACCAGAGAAATTCACTCACTCATTAATGAAAGAAGCATTATTCATAGTAGCCCCAAAACAGGACATTACCCAAATGTCCATCAAGATTAGGAGAGAGACATCCATGTGTGGTGTGTTCCAACAATGAGAATGAAAGCACTGAAATTACATGCAACAATCTTGCAAACACAATGTTGAGCCAAAGAAGACAAAAAGAAAAGAGTGTGGCTTTATTTCTATGTTAAAATAGCAGGCACCAAGAATCTACAGCTTTAGAAGTGCAGGAGGCGGGTGGAAGATATTGACTGAAAGAGGGTGTGGGGTGGGGTTCCAGGGATTGATGACCTGGATGATCGGTTTGTACAAAGCCATAATGCAGCATATTTAATATTTGTGAATTTTCTGCATTTTTGTTATACTTCAAAAGTTTAAAGAAATCATTCCAAGCCAGAATGAGCACTGGGGGAATGAGTTTTTCAGAAATCATAGACTCGGTTTCTAAATAAATGCTCTCCCAGCCCCTGCTGAGATGCCAAAGAGATTCCAAAGGCATAGACTGAAAGGACAGAATGCTCACAGCCAAAATGACCAGGATTTCTATGCAGAAATCCGAGCTTTGATGCTTTAGAGGGGCCTCTGTCTCCCGCTACCAGACACAAAGCCAGCAGCGAGGCCCTCACAATGGGCTTGCAGAATAGCTGAAGAGGAGGTTATTTATTAAGCCACAAGGAGAATACACCTGCAGTCACGTTTCCATGCAGGAATCTGACAACTGAAATGCCCTATACGAGCTAATTTTCTGGATAATCAAAATTCCCTCATTAAACAACTCTGTCATTGAAAATAAAATCATTTTTATTGAATTTAATTCTTTCTAAAACGGATTTCATGCATTTCCGACTTTTCGGAAGAGTCCACAGAATAGAATTTAACCTTTAGAATAAATAACAACACTCACATTTAGGTACTGTCTATTTCCCATCCAAAATGCTTTCCATCAGATTTTCTCTCTTAGGTCCTATTATTATTCCCATCTTAGGTATGAGGCTATGAAGTATAAGAAACTCTCTCTCCGAAGTCTAAACTCCTAAACCCTGTGCTATCTTTTCTTTACAGCTTCAGCTATGGAGTCTGTGTTACACTCCACAATGCCAACAGACAGACAGGAATGCTAGCTGTAACTTGAATGATTTGAGTTCTCATTGCTTTTCTCCCATCTTTTCTTTCTCTTTCATCGATATTATACAATTAGTTTTTTCATAAAGCTCCTATGAGCAAGCTACTCCTCACCACTCCCAGAAAACCTCCTACCTAAAATCAGATAAAAATCTTTGTTTTCACTACTTTAAACTCTCAGCCTTCTTGGATCTTTCTATTTGGTTAAAATCTCCTATGGAGTTGGACAAACTTCTTTATCAGTCTAAGAAACCCCTCTGTTTCTGTGCATTTCAAAGCATCCAGGATTTGCTTTTTCTTAACCCAGCTCAGAAGGAAACCTGGGATGCTCATTAGATTAACAAAAACAGCCCTCAACTGGGGCCCATCTGGACCACAGTCACTCTCCAGAAATACAACAATGGGAGCAGGTAAGAACTGAGGCATGCCAAGAGTCAATTTCTCTAAGGTTTATCACCCGCAGACCTGTGGAGAAAAGGAAACTGCCATCCTTACCCCGTTTTCAGGCTGACCAAGGCATCCTCTACTCCCTTCTGATTAAATTTGGTCATGTACTGATGCATGTAGGGATAGTTATTCCGAATGTTTCTCTCCGTGCTTCCATTAGGCACTGTCCCAAATCGAAAAGGTGGGGAATAGTCATGAGGTCTCTGAAACTGGAGAGGGAACGAGAAAGGAAGAGAGAGAGCAGGAAAAGAAGGGAGGAGGGGGAGGAGAGAACAAATGAGAAATCAGTGATCATTTTGTCTGGTGTTAGGAGTTAAACACACGCATTAGTGCAGGATGACAATAAAATGTTACTTTTCGGTCTTTCTTTCTACTTAATCACATCTTCAGTCAGTCTGTGAGCTCCAGGAGGGAGGACCCAGCATCTGTTTTCTTCTGTACTATTGCTCAGGTCCTAGCACAGGGCCTGGCTGGGTGCTCCATAGATACTTGTTGAGTTGAAATTTTCAGTGCCATTATAGAGACTAGCACAGTGTTAGGCACACAGTCAGTGCTTAGAAATGCTGAATGAGCTGAACTTAAGGTACTACCTTAGTCCAGTCCATTTATCCACTTCATGATGAAATTTTCTGTGATCTCCACCAATCACTCCCTTCTCTAAACTCCATTTATAATTACCTTCACCTCACCCAGAAAATGACTATATATTACCACTCATTCATTCTCCACTCACTCAGTCATTCATTCACTCCTGCAGGCACTATTTATCTAGTGCCTAACATTCCCCAGGCATAACTGCCAGTGCATGGCAGGTTCCATGAATACTTGTTCAGCCAGAGTCCCTGTTGATCTATAGCTTTCAGGGATGCCCAGCACTCGGCTCTCAAGTCCCCCATAAAGGCCTGTAGACCACGCATCACCATTCTTCCCTGATGGACTGGATGATTCTGTCTGTCTACCACTTCAGTGTTTCAGGTGACTCAATGAGAGTCGAAGTCAAGAAAACTGGATCTGAGTTCCAGAAATACAGCTAAACACTAGAGATGGCACCGGGCTGTGGTTATAAGTGGGAGCTCGAACTGGCTGGTTGGAAAATCAGGTTCTATCACATACAAGCTACAGAACCCTAGATAACACATTCACTTCATGCTGCCTCCCTTTATTTTCCATCTGTAGAGTGGGGGGTCACCAGGAAGATCTCAACATACGTTTGTCAAGTAACTGTAATAGTGCCTGGACTACAGGAAGCATTCAAAAATATATTTATGATTACCTTTTATTATTGTCATTAAGAGTGAAAAAGGAACCTGAACCTCACTTTTCTATGAAATATTGAATTCTGGAACTAGAAAGTAATAACAACAATGACTAACACTTTTCGGGAACCTCGTCGGGTCCAGCACTATGCCAAGAACTTTACAAACATCAGGTCATTTAATCCTTACAAAACCATGCCAGGTAGTTAATCGTAGAGGCTCCTTCTTGCAGATGAGAAAACTGAGGCTCAGAGAGGTTGTGTGACCTATTTAAGATTATGTAACTACCAAGCAGTGGCCCAGAATTCAAACCTGGATGCGTCTGACCGCAGGCGGAGGTCTTAACTCTATCGTTCCTCAGAGACCATTGCTAGTGACTCTCTCGTCATCTAGACATAAAGATTTAAAGACCCCAGGAGGGGAAGAACACCCAGAAAATCAGTGTCAGAACCAGGACCACAATGCAGGAGTCTCTCTAACTTCCAGACCAGTGTGTCTTCCATGGAACCAAGAACCGCCAGGGTAAGCATCCAGATTTACCCAAGAGTCAGACCAGCTAGAAACATTATTCTGTTTTCCAGACTCACACTTCATTTCACCGTTAATTAAAATTTCCAGTTGAAAATCGTTTTCCCTAAATTAGGCATGCTGCTACCTAATAAGCAGTCATAACTGGATTTGGGAGAAGTGGCCATTCATTGGACAAATGAGATCCTCCTGCCAGGGCGTGCCTTGCCCTGGGAGTATGTGCGTCCATGTGTGCCTGTGTGTGTAGGTGAACAGCAAAATGCTTTTTGCAGTCACTCTGCCAAACAGTGCCTTAACTCATCACCAAAAGCTTAAAAGGCCAAGTCTAGGCTCATCCTCATGGCAGCCGCCTGCTTGGGAGGAGAGAGGGAATAGTGCTGTTCATAAATCTCATTGTAGCAGCCGTTCCCAATCTCCAGAGACATCTGGAGATGGCCTATTTGACTAAATGCCTTCCACTTCACTCCCCATCTGTTGCAGAGGAGCTGCATAGGTCTTTAAAAATTCACTTTCTTCCCTGCCTCTGGGTTGCGCAGTGACAAAGACAGATATTCAGTCTCTGTGATGGTTTCCACGCTTCTCTGGCCTGGATAGTACCATCACCCACACAAAATTCAGCCTGACACCAAGCTCCAGAAATCTTTTCCACTAGACTAAAGACTGTCAAACTTTTAAAAGCATGACTCACAATACGTTTCCCATCACCACTCCATACACATGCGCAAAATTTCACAGCACTCATTCTTTCTGTGATATACTCTGAGGTTATCCATTATGTTCTATTTTTAAAAAAATGTCTGCAATCCTTAGACTAATTTCATGGCTCACTAAAGAGTCATGACCTACAGCATGAAAAACAGTGAGGGGGCAAGGATGGCTCAACTCTTAAGTCCCAGGGTCAACATCCAGGACACACTCCGTGCTTCCTATGAGAATGATTCCTAGCAAGACTTTCTGCCAGAGAGTTCCACGTGCAAGCAGAAAGAAACCAATATGGGCTTTAGCAAAGGAAGAGGTAGGACAGAGGTCTCCATTGTCAGTAAGACCACAGAACAATGTAATGACAATATCCGGGGTCAAGGGGAACTCCCCTGTCTTCTCTGCAGGGTTCCCTTGCTGTGTAGGTTAACTGGTTTCACCGGGCTTTGGACTTAGAGGAGACAAGTTCAGGTTCTCATCTGCTGCTTAGAAACTGCACCATTTGGAGCAACCATTTAAGCTCCTGAGCCTCAATTTCTCTATCTGTAAATTGGAGATTGCTTTTGCAACGAATCTTAAAGTGCTTGAAAGAACACCTGACATCCTCTAATGCTTGGGATAGATCACCTGTTGTTACCCACACATCATTTCAGCCAAACAATGAAGCCAGGCTCCTTACAGTTTGGAGAACAGAGGATTATTTTCTAATTTTTTTTTCCATCCAATATGGAAGCATGTCTGAAGGTCATCCGAGTGACTAAAACATGGCAAGCATTTGATGATGGAGGAGGTAGAGAGGCAACACTTGGAGATAAAATTTCCAGAAAAATGCAGCAATTAACCGAGACATTTTTTCTCTTTTTTATGAACCAAAAGCTACACATTTATTAAAAATATCTATCTGTCTTCTGTGCCTGTAAATAAGGGACATCTGGCAACTGGAGCCCCTATTTCTAGTACAGTCTTCTGTTGGTGAAGTCCCACGTGCTTCTTGATGTGAGCAGCAAGCAGGTGTGTCCTTGAGTTGAGCAGAGAGAGGATGAGCTGGGAGGAGGCCTGGCTGCCTGGACTGGGGCCACTCAGCAGCAGCAGCACAGTGCCCAGAGACAGCACGGCTCCTTGAGAACACATTCCTCGGCTCATCCACTGAGAGAAGTTCCCTCAATTCCCTCCATTGGTTGTCACAAAAGACCAACTCAGTGCAATAACATTTCAGGCCCCAGAAGCCAAGAATGGTTCGAGTCAGGTGATGATGAAGATGATGGAAGGAGTAGGAGGAGAAGGGAGACAAAGGGAAAGGAGAGGGGGAGGAATGAGAAGGGGGAGTGGAAAGGAGGAGGGTAGAAGAAGGAAATAACACATTACAGGATCATCTACCGTGTGCCAGGCATGGTGTGAGGATTATTTCTAATCCTCCTATCAACCTTGCCAGAAAGGAGATAATGTCTTCTCTTTTACAGGAAATTAAGCCTAGGGGGATATTGACATACAGAAGGCCAATCATATGGCAAGGCCAGGATTTGAACCCAGGTCCATTTGACCCCAAACATGATATTGCTCTTTCCACAACATAAATCTGCCTCCCAGAGATGGATTTCCTCTATCAGAGTGATTCCCAACATTTTGGAAAGCATCCCTATCAACATTGCAATTTTCTCTTAATAATTCCTAGGGAAGCATCTTACCCATGAATTCACCTATTTATAATTTAAGTCCCAGCTCATCTGAGCACACCATGGGCTCCAATATGATTCTTCACGGCAAGGACTAATGGCTTAAAAGCATTGTAAACCCGAGTTGTTACACAGGTGTTCATGATGAACGAAAACCAAAAACAAAACCAACCACAGTGTACAATAAATTGATTCAATACAGATTTTTTATTTTGCAGACTTTCTTGGTGTATCTTCTATTAATCTTCTGGGAGCATTTAGCTTATTTACTCCAGAAATTTTGCTGTTTATCTCATTGTATCAAACATTTAATTAAAAGAGCTATCAGCTTGCCTCTAATGCTTTGAGCATGGAAACTGAGCTGTGTCTCTTGACGATATGGTATCTGTTACTGGGTGTTTCCAAGTCAGTGAAGGTCAGTCAAATTATGAGTGGTTTTAATTAGTTTTCCCACAAGTGGTCATGTTATTTAGACCCAAAACTATGTAGTAAGGATTTTCCCCACCTTGCCTTTGAAAATAGCAACAAAAAGCAAAATATGCTGCCAATCACTTTCTTGAAAAATCCTCTCTTCCAGGACATGGCTTCCCGCTGCTTCCACCATACCTCCAATCACTTCTAGGAATTGTACTTTTGATCCCATAAGGCGATGGAGTTGCATAATAGCACTTTGCATCTGCAGAGGGATTCATGTGCTACAAGGCACATTTACATATGTGGCTTTCTTTCATCCTCACTGCAATTGTGACTCCCAAATGTATACAGCAGACAAAGCAGGCACTGTGAGGCAACATGGCTTTAAAAGCATTATATGGCTGGCGAGTGGCAGAGAGGAAACAGGCAGAGAGGAAACGCAACTTTTCTGACTCTAAACGCAGTGCGTTATCTGCTGCCTCTGAGATACCACCCGCTTTAAGCGGGGATCTTACAGTAGCTGACCCCAAGTGAAGGATTTGGGGGTGAGCATGATTTACTAGTGAAGGGTTCCAGGAGAAGTCAGCAGGGGAGCAGGATAAAGTTAGGAAAGACTGGAGAACGGGGAGAAACCAAAGGTCTGATTTAAGTCCTTTGATTCAAGTCTCCATCTCCGTCCAGTCCTGCAGGGAGCTCCAGAGAGTGATTCGTACCTTAAAGTTTCTCCTGCTTCAAAGTGAGGGAGCAGCTGGGCCTTTGTATTCTCACACCGATTAGTCTTTGGTTACAGGTGACCACAAAGACTGAGGGAACTTAAATTGCCAGGCATTTACCATTCCAGTGCCCCAAGGCAAAAGCCCGCTGAGGATCCCTGAAGTGAGGCTTTGTCAGCAAAGCATGGAAAGGTGGGGCTGGGCACACAGGGCTGCAAAAGGGATCCTGGGAGATCCAGGTGGGGTATACACAGTGTCCAGTATACCATGTGTGTATTCATTCACCCAGCAAGAATGTCCTGAGCACCTCTAAGTGCAAAACAACTCTATCAAACTACATTCCCGAGGTTCTCTTCCCCAAGACAATTTTAGTCTCATCAGCTTTATCTTCTTTATAACTTATTTCTGCCCCAAATTTCCAAATTTGTTTCTTCCCTGATGTTTACTTGTGTACTGTTATTTTTTCCTACTAGAATTTACGTTTCTTGGGAACCTGAGCTCATTCTGCCAAGTTTATTACAGTAGCCGGGAAAGACTTCCCTGAGGAGGTAATGTCTTCTCTATGGCCTGAAACTCCAAAAGGAGTCAACCATGAGAAGACTGGGGAAGAACATTCTAGGCAGAGGGCATAAGAGGCACAAGGACACTGAGCTGAAAATCAACTTAGTGACAGGGATGGAACAAGAGGAAGGAAATGTGGGCACAGGTGAGATAACACAGGCCTTTGTGTGCCATGGTAAGTAGAGTGACCCTTACTCAAGCCTCAATCGGAAACCATCAGAGAGAGGCGAGCCACTGCCATGCCTTTGTGGAAATGATTCCATCTTTAACCCCAACCCCTCATCAGCTCTCTTGACAAGATTCTTTCAATCACAGTGTGTACCATGGATAAGCTGTAAAAGCTTTCCATGGATTGATTTTTCTATTCAGCAGTTTGTTGATGAATGCCAAAAGGATATATGTAGACTTATGTCAACCAGATATGTTAGTGAGGTTTTATAATGAGAGACAAATTATCCCCCCACACACGGAACAGAAAATCTTCGCGGTGCTGCAATCTCAACACTTGCTGAGCTTAGCAAGCCAGGATGTTTCCCGAACTAAAGTCTCAATAGGAGGATGCACCCAGTTTACCTCTTTTCTTCCTCAATGTGCATTTCTGAATAGCTACTCAAACCCTGCAGCCCTTGTTACATTTCATTTCAGTGGAGAATGAGAGAGCAGGTGTTTTTACTCCTGTCTTACTGCTGTGGGAAGTACAGCCCCACGAGGGAAGATTAGCGATATATCTGAGGAGAAGGAACCAGTGGGAAATTAAAAATAAAACAAAAAAACCCTCTCTGCTCCTTTTGTGTGCCTTGAAGACATTTCAGGTGAGTCAGAAGCGCTGACGCTGAGACTGATTTGGCTGTATGGAAAAGAGGAGCTGTCAGACAACTTTATCTCTGGGTAGGGCTTAGAGATGACTTTTTTTCATGTCATAGATGAGGTACCCACAGCCTACAGTGCTCCTTCACCCCAATTTCTTCTCAACCAGGCAAATGGGCCTTCCTCAACATTACACTTTCGAAAGGATGAGTTTCAATCTAAGGACTTGAGTCACAGGCCATTCACGAGCATCAGAAAGATCACATAAATAAGAAACATGACCACTCGGGGAAGCCATGCTTCCAAATTAGATCTGGAATCTTTTAGCTCTAGGAAAGCTAAGCTTAAGGTTGTGTTTCAAAAACTATAAGAAAGATGCCAATTTGAGTTAAAGGGAAAAAAACCTTCTGGTTTTTGTGTATTAGAGTTGATGGATCTCAATGAGAGGCACCCGAATCTCTTCCTCCTGAAAGGAGAGCAGTTAAGACCAACCCTCAGACAGAGATGAAAGCAAGGTGACCTTACCTTTTTGTCACTGAGGCCAGTCACTTGGTCCACAAATTCCTCCTGGATCATGAAAGCAGCCAGATTGGCTGTGTAGCTGGCCAGGAATATAACAGCAAAGAAGGCCCATACGGATACCATGATCTTGCTGGTGGTCCCTTTAGGATTCTGCACAGGCACGGAGTTATTGAACACCAGGCCCCAAAGAAGCCATATAGCTTTTCCAATTGTAAAAGAAGGCCCATGGGGTGCTGCAGATGACAAAAAGGACATTCTCAGCATTTTCTGAAAAAAACCGTCTATTTGTATGTGTATGAGAACCATGCAGCAGCCACCAGCAACACTGAAGATTGCCAGAAGATGGAATTATATCATAGCTGTGTCCTGTGATTGCCCTAGAACCACAATAACTTATTTTTTCTTTAAAAATTAGCATTCTTCTCACATTTCTATCCAACTGGATTTTTGCCACATTTCTTTAAAAAAAGAAAGGAAACGAAAATGCTTATGCAAAATGGGGGTTTGAATAAGAAGTAGTGTTATGACCTGTTTTAAATTTGGATTTGATTCCCATTTGAGGAAACCAACCTTCTTAATAAGCATAAAGAGAGCCTGACAAAAATGTGTGCATGGGGACTGCTTCCAAATTCATCGGATGTGCTATCGTATAGGAACCATGCAATTTAGCAGGACTGATGTTTGGTATTCTAATCCGATTGTCCCTAGCAATTGCTCCTGTTCAAACTCAGATGTAAAGTGTGCACAACATAAGAATTAAACCAAACTAAAACCCTCTCCAAATGGAGACATTAAGGAATGGAACAATAGATCTTAATTCTTCCAACACTTCACAGATAGAAGACATTTCATTGCAATCGAAAATGAACACTGATGTCATATCACAGCACTTTTTTCCAGTATATCCTCGCAATAGCTATGCAGCCCTTTTAAGATTCTTAAATGTTCCTTGCAACAGACTTAACTAAAGAGACAGAACAATATGCCAAAATTCATGGAGATGGGGCATATGCAGGCTGTAAAACACACATATTAGGGTTTTCAAGTCTTTGTTTTGCACGAGGAAAAAAAATCAATTTATGCCCTCATTTCATAGGGAAGAAGGTTTTCCTTTAACAGGAGGTTAACTTTTATGTCATTTAAGTAAACGAAGATATGAAAAAATGATCTACTCAGATGTCACCTGGCAATGCAAGCAGAGTGGGCAATAAATAAAGTGGCAGAAGCGAATTCACATTAATGGAAGTTACGAAGTGTTGGGCAGGAAGCCTAGGAAAAGCAAGCTCTCTGCGCATTGGAGGCCGAACCCAGGCTACAGCAGTACTTATAATATCCACGACACAACCCATTAAAGAGAAGGTAGTTAATTCTCATATTCTCAATCTGTCCTCTTTCTATTTGGCTAGTTTTATGATCTTCTGGGCTTATTCTCAAGAGGCAGGAAATTCTTGGGGGAAACTTAGAGTTAATCCAGTCAACTTTATGAACTACTTAATTTTTTTAGGGATGCACGTTGATCAGAAATGACAGCTATTTGGGAATCAGATGTAGGCAGTTCAGAAGGATCGGTCCAAGACTTCTAGGAATTCCTGATTCATGAATACCATTACTGGGCCATATAACTTTTCCCATAAAGTGCAGTGAAATGTAACAGAAAACCATTTTGTACAAAAAACCAAGAAACTGTCATTTCCCGAGAGCTGCCACAGCAGATGAGCTGGGAACAGAGCCTGGAGAGAATGGAAGGGCTGAGGAGTTTGCATAACTGATGCCATCCTTTACAATAGTCTTTCGGGCATGCTTCAGTCAAAGGAGAACGTATTGCACACGATGGACTGTGGGTCGTTTTCACCTTCCAAAGTATAACTCAGATTTACCTGCTTATCTGTATTTTCATTTTTCTTGACCAGTTCCAAGTCACTGCAATCCTTTCTCTTGGAAAAAGTGACACTTTCTTAACTGTCCTCCCCATCCCCCCGCTTCCAACTGTCGTCCCCACACACTATCTAGATAGAGTAGCCCCAGTGGCTTTTTTGCTCTGTACATGTATGTCACCTCTCTCCCCACCTTTTTTTTTTTGAGATGGAGACTTGCTCTGTCGCTCAGGCTGCAGTGCAGTGGCACAATCTCGGCTCCCTGCAGCCTCCACTTCCCAGGTTCAAGGGATTCTCCTGTGTCATCCTGCCGAGCAGCTGGGACTACAGGAGCATACCACCACGCCCAGCTAACTTTTGTATTTTTAGAAGAGATGCGGTTTTGCCATATTGGCCAGGCTGGTCTCGAACTTCTTACCTCAAGTGATCTGCCCACCTCAGCCTCCCAAAGTGCTGGGATTCCAGGCATGAGCCACCATGCCTGGCCTCCCTCCATTGTATTTTGAAGAAAGTCTGACATGGTTACCATGGTCAATTGCCTATCTCTCTGATTTCGTCTTATACTATTGTCTCCCTCATTCACTGATGTCTTTTTATTTTATTTTTTAAGAGAGACAGGGTCTTGCTCTGCTGAGTAGGCTAGAGTGCAGTGGTGTGATCATAGCTCACTGCAACCTCAATCTTCTGAGCTCAAGTAATTCTCCTACCTCAGCCTTCTGAGTAGCTGGGACTACAGGCACACATCATCATGCCTGGCTTACTTATTGATTGATTGATTGATTGTAGAAATGAGGTCTTGCTATGTTAGCCAGGCTGGTCTCAAACTCCTGACCTCAGGCAATCCTCCTGCCTTGGCCTCAAAAAGCCTTGAGACCACAAGCATGAGCCTCAGCCTTTTTCCGTTTCTTGAATATCTCAAGATTAATTTCAGCCTTTCTGCTTGCTGTTCCTTTTACACGAAATGATTGTAACCGTTTTTCACAGATACAATCGTATGTCACCCTTCAAGTCCTAGCTCAATGAACATCCTTTCCCATTGACCATCTTATCTAACGTAGTGTCTGCACCCCATCACTATCATGTTACTATGTTTTCTTCTTCTTCTTCTTGATATTTATTATAATCTGTGATTATTAATTTGTGTGTCTACATGTTATTTTCACAACTAAATTCTAAACTCCCTGATAGAAAATCTCTATTTGATTTACCACATTATCTCTGGCAGCAGTATAGTGCCTCCTGGCACATAGTACCCATTTGATAAATATTCATCAGATAAATGTGTAAATTCACAACAGCACAAGCCCTGATTATGCAAATGTAAAGGACTACTGTATCACAGTAAAGTCACTCACAGAAACGTCTCAGATTCCACCCTGTTGGAAATCTTCTTAGTGGTTAAATTACCCTTTAAATGAAGGCTTGCACTCTCCCATTAAACACAACAACATTATTTATGGCATTGTTTAGTATTTGGTTGATTGAAGATGGTTTATGTGGTAATCACCACTCTTCAATGGTGAGGAAGAAGTTGAAAGATTTCAATAAAACCAGGTTCCTAATAGATTCCCACGCCCTGTTGACCGTTTCCAACATTAAAACATTCAAGTAAAAAGAATATGTATCAATCACATTAAAGTGCTCTGCTTTTGGGGGGATATGAGACTTCAAGTTCCATCCTCTACCATATCAAGTCATTTTTTGGGAAAGAGATTTGGTCCTGACACTTTTCTGATAACACCCACTTAGAAGGTAGTGCCCACTGAGGAAAGCCCACTCAAAATGGCATAATGTGTATGACATAAACCCTGGCTAGAGTGGGATCCTTTTAATGAGTTATAGCCAACGAATGCCTCCCAATTTTATTTCCTATCTACTGATTGTCTCTTTATCAACTACAGTGCACTAAGATCAATGCACTTGGTCTTAGCACACTTAATTTCCTCTTGGCACCACTGAGAGGAAAATATAACTCTAGGGGGAAAGATATCACTTCATAGTTATATTTATTGTCAAACTAATGTAAATTGATTCAGTAGTTTGAGGAGTGTTCTTAAACTAGATTTTATAAAGTCATTTTCTTTGCGTAGACTGAAGTTGAAACCCATGACAATTTTAGCATTTCTTTTGACATGCATCTTTTAAATTAATTGCCAGAAAAGCTCCTTCAAATCTGCTTTCCCAACAAATTGAACATCAGTGGTTTCCACCTAACAACTATTGACTTCAGGTGATAACAAGATTAAAATATTTCATTCTGTTTTATCCTTCAGTCGAAGTACATAAACCATACTTTTCTGGCATTACAAGTAATATCAGTGACCAAACACCATTCATACAATGGTACACCAATGCAATATATTCTTTTGTGTGTGTATGTGATGGAGTCTCGCTCTGTCACTCAGGATGGAGTGAAGTGGCACAATCTCGACTCACTGCAAGCTCTGCCTCCTGGTTTCAAGCGATTCTCCTGCCTCAGTCTCCCGAGTAGCTGGTATTACAGGTGTGTGCCACCATGCCCAGCAAATTTTTGCATTTTTAGTAGAGATGGGTTTCATCATATTGGTCAGGCTGGTTCTGAACTTCTGACCTTGTGATTCACCCACCTCAGCCTCCCAAAGTGCTGGGATTACAGGCGTGAGCCACCACGCCTGGTCTAGAGTAATGTATTATAAACCTGAAATGTTCATTAAAGGTAAATGAAATTGCATCAACATTGAATCATGCTCATGAAGGTATCCTTACCTTTCCCTTTGGCTAAGTTTCTGTTGTATCCAACAGGGCTGAAGTATTCAAAGACAAAAACAGCTATGGCAGAAACAATGAGCAGCATCACAAACATCATCACCCAGACAGAGGCGCTGAATGGTTCTGCAAATAAACAGATGGAGGAATGGAAAAGTGGTCAATTATCTCTTCCTCACTTCCAGCAGGAAGCGCAGACATCCATTTGCAGGCTCACCAAAAAATATTTTCTCTAATTTGAATCTGATCCTTCAAAAGAAGCTAATCGTTTTTTATTTTTATTTTTATTTTTTAGATGTAGTTTCACTCACTGTGTCACCCAGGCTGGAATGTAGTGGCACAATTTCAGCTCGCTGCAACCTCTACCCCCAAATTAAAGCAATTCTCCTGCCTCAGCCTTCCGAGTAGCTGGGACTACAGGCATGTGCCACCACACCTGGCTAATTTTTGTATTTTTAGTTGAGATGGGGTTTTGCCATGTTGCCCAGGCTGGTCTCGAACTCCTGACCTCAGGTGATCTGCCCACCTCGGCCTCCGAAAGTGCTGGGATTACAGGCATGAGCCACTGCTCCTGGCCAGCCAGTCATTTTTTATTCATCAATTTAAATCATTCTTTATTCTACAAAATATTTTAGGTATAAGATTGCATATAATATAATAAAAATAGACAAGAGCCTAGGACATTTTACAAATTAGGTCAAGGATAATCAGAAGAAAAAAGAGTGATAAGAAAGAGGGAGCAAGTTAGAATGCAAATAGACTGGCCATAGGTTCCTTTGCAATTATAGAACCATCCAGGGGGCTAAAGCTAGGAAGAAAAAAAGAAGACGAGGCCCTAATAGTTAACCATAGGCTCCTGCAAATTGTTGTGGTTTTTATTTTTATTTTTGTTATCTTTTCATGCTAGAAAGATGATATGCAGGAAATTCTGAAAATAAAGGGAGAATTATAACCTGTTGGAAAAGAATCATAAAATCATGGGTGACAGAAATATTGGAAAGTTATAATCTAGCACACTCTCCATTTCACCTTCTGCCTCAGACAGATGAGATTGCTACGCTTTATTAATCTTGTTGATGTTGGTAGCAGCCTTAAATGCAATTGAAAGTCAATTGAGAATATTATCTTCACATGATAATTCAATAAAGAAAGCATCACTTAAAGGGTAGAGGCAATAAAATAGTAGATGGATAGATGGTTATTTCCACCAAAAGTAGTTTTCATCAGCTCATTTGCATGTAACTTAAGCAGTAGGTGGATGTGTCAGAAGGGCAGGCCAAGTCATAAGGCTGTAAGTCTTATAACACTCTAGAAAGGTAAGAAATATTATGTAAAATAAGATTTCTATTCAACTTTATTGAGGATATGAAAATTAGCTGACTGAAGCCATTTTATTTATGGTATAGATTTGCTACAACATCAACAGAAAATAAATTTTTAAAATGAATACATCTCCACCTGAATGTATCATGGGGAAGAAACTGCCTATAGACACCAATGAACTTAAAACCTTTTTCCTCATAAGCAAATATTTTCTGAGGGTTAAAATAAGTCTGATAATATCTCTTGAATAGTAAACATATTATTTAAAATTGTTTTCCTAATGAAGCTACTTATAAAGAACTAGGTTGATAGCAGGTCACCTTCTTATCAGAGTATGACTACTTAACACGGTTAGAAGTCATCACAAAATTCAATTTAATGAGCTTAATGTATAACAAGAAACGAATATGTCTGAACTTAACTTTGGTTATATTGGATAATTTAAAAGCTGTAAGGAATGCTTTCTAATGCAGTTTGATAGTGCAAATATATTAAAAAGCAACAGGTAACACAACTTAAGTAACACAAGATGTGCTCCAAGAAATCAATGAGACTGCAACTGAAATTTATTTTAAATTTAGCTTGAGTAATAAACAATATTATGTCCCTGAAATAACAGCACTTTAATACTGAGTTGTATCCAAAAAGGAAATTAGATAAATGATTAGGAGATTTAAAAGTACTTCATATTCAAGAATTGAGATAAAATAATTCTCCGAGTTACATAGTGTGTCTTATCGGAGGAGGATCATTGTGATGAGTAAATGGGTATATACAAGAAAGTGTTTGTTCGTGTGTGATGCACACAATATACGACAATATATTGAGTGGAATAGCTGTTTAATTCCAGGATTAAAGCCAGAAATACTGGGGCAACAATACGCTGTCCATGGTTCTGAAAAGGGCATGCTGGTTTTTGAAAGAGCACATTTACTAATCTGGTAACTTCTATTTCTCCACAGGCTGTGAAAACATTATTTGTAAACATTAGAAGGGACCATAACTGAATTATCCTATGTGCATGCAAGAAACTGTAAACTTGCAGTGAACTTTTTTTGACAGGTGCATACTTCTCACTAACACACCAGTCAGAAAATCAGGCGGAAACTGATGAAGCAACGATCCCAGATGTCTCCCCACTTGGAACTGACCACATCTGTTCCTTAATTTGTGAGCACAGCACAGATCTGCTGCAGTACTATGGTTTTAGTAAAGTAAGTACGTATGAGTGCCCCAAAGTGTTGCTATTCTAAGATACCACACACGTGAATGTATGCGTGCAGACACATGCCCCAAAACAAAGAAAAACATTAGAACATCGTTAAAGCCATGTCTACAGTGTCTAAGGAGTGACCCAGAAATAGTTTAAATAACTCTCTATTACATCCTCTAATGGTTTAAAACAGATTCAATGTTTGTCCATGAAGGAACTGCAACTGAGGAGATACCAGGTCAGCATTTCTTTGGATCAAAGAATCCAACTTGTTTGGAAAGTCTTCAGAATTAGCTAGATAGAAATATTACAGGAGATGCCATCTCTGTCCTTGAAGAGCCACTGGTTACATTTTTACACAAAAAGCTTAGAGGCATTACCTGCAAGTGCTTCTGATGTGAGTTAATGGAGTCTGGGGAGGAGAGGGAATAGGAAATAATGAAGAGCAATACAATCAGATTTTGAATGTTTTGGCTCTTCCAGATGACTGAGCCAGTGAATGGAAAAATGTAGCTTAGCATGGTTCATTATGACTTTCAAAATCTGTAGATAATGACCATAAATAAGGGGGTGCACAGTCAATCAAATAAGGATGTAATTTAGTGACTAGGAAAAATATTAAGCCGACTGTGTAAAAACAGCTTTGAAAATAGTTTCCTCTGGTTACAATTTATTTTACTTTAAAAAATGCAGCAGGAAAAGTGTGGGGAAAGAGAGGTTTTGCTAAATTTAGCAAAATACTTGACTTTTTTATGGAAATGTTTTACAAATGCAAGTAAGATAAAAATCTAGAGAAACTGGGTTGAGGCCAGATTCAATATTAGTGACCCATTTTCATGAGACAAGCCAATTGATATTTTTTTCTCTCTGACTGAATTGGAAAAAGAATTCTCTCTAGCTCACTAAAGAAATATAATATTTTTTTTTCTAAAAAAAGAAACGATTTCTTTCCATTTTGATCAATGAACTCACTTCCTCTAACCCTTTCTTAACCTCCAGGGCAAAGGATTCCTGCCAAAGAGTCTGAAAGGGAATGAGGGGAAACATGACTAGGAGTGACTGAAGAGTCCACCTAAATTCTTAGGTGGACTTAGTGAATGTCCACCTAAAAATTATTAAGATTCTGCATGTGTTGTCAGTATCAGCTGGTTGCATTGTTCCTGGCATAGTGAGGCTCTCTTATTAAGATATGAGTATCTGAATCCATGTCAGACAGAGGGACAAAAGGAACATAATGAGGTATTTGTCAGGGTCCACATTACTCCAACAAAGGTTACAAAAATTGAAGCAACTAGTGCACAATCAAATCCAGAGAGTGGCAAGGATTTTAACAGCTTAAATGGATTATCGAAAATGAAAACAGTAAATCCACAGAGCTCTGAATGTAAGGCAGTGTCCACAATCCTGTTAGTCAATATTTCACTGAAGAGAATGAAACACAAAAGTTTCACTGGATGCTAACATTACATATAAATGAAGACAGTGGAAGAATAAGACAATGAGCTTGGAGTTGGTGTCCACAATTTGGTTTGAGTTTACAATTTGCTTTAAAAGATAAAGTTATTTTTGTCTCTGCAAAAATATAAGAAAGTTAGTTGACCTTAATATAACTGTTTTCCCAGGGTGGAGATTTCTCAAAGAACTAAAAGTAGATCTACCATTTGATCCAGCAATTTCACTACTGGGTATCTACCCAAAGGAAAAGAAGTCATTACATCAAAAAGACACTTGCATACATATGTTTATCAGAGCACAGCTCACAATTGCAAAGATATGGAATCAACCTATGTGTCCATCAGCTGATGACTGCATAAAGAAAATGTGGTGTATATACATTGTGGAATACTACTCAGCCATAAAAAAGAATGATGCAATGTCTTTTGCAGCAACTTGGATGAAACCGGAGGCCATCATCCTAAATATTTGCTAGTCATCTAAATAAATGACTGTTGTTCTTTGTGAGATGGAGGATGGGTATGTAGATGCTGAATAAAGGTTTATGGGCTGATTTAAATTAACTGTGGACTGACAGGTTTATTTTAAAAATGTTTTCAAGACTCTAAGCAATATAGCTATTAATTTACATTCTACAGAGTAAAGACCAGTATCTAAATATGTGATCTTATTTTTTTAGCAGCTTTTTCTAAGTTTGAGATAAATGAAAGATGTGAACTGGGGGATGGGTTTTTCAGGAATGGAAAATCTAATACTCCATGTTCTCATTTCTAAATGAAAGCTAAGCTATGGGTATGAAAAAGCACACAAATGGTATAATGGACACTGGAGACTCAAAAAGGGAGAGGATGGGAGGGAGATGAGTGATGAAAAATTACCTACAATGTACACTATTTAGGTGACAGGTACACTAAATGCCCAGACTTCACCACTATATAATTCGTCCATATAACCTAAAACCACTTGTACCCCTGAGCTATTGAAATTTTTAAAAAATTAAATATATAATATTTTGCCTCTCTCAGTTTTCCTCCAGAGATTCAGGTTTGTCTTAACCTTCCCTAATTTGGGACAAACCCACTTATATGGGAGTGCCAAGGGGGAATTAGTGATCTGAATTTCATGATATTCAACAAGATAGTTATGGTCAAAAGTCATTTATGATAACCAAACAGTTAATACAACACTTTCCTTTAAAGACAAAAATAATGCTTTACTATGTTCCATGAAGTTTCAGCTACTCTAGCCAGGTTACCCAATACAGTCTGAGTGCTAGAGAAAAGCAGATGATAGAAAATATAGCTCTTTCTTGATTTAAAAAAATAAAACCTTTTATGTGAAAACATAAATTTATGAAATGGCTAAAAAAATCAAAAGAATGTCCTTCTTTACAAACTATTTGGCTTAATGGGTAGTCACAATTAAAATATGATTTGATTAATTTTAAATCAGCGTATACTTTTCAGACTACTTCTGTTAGCAGAATACTGGCATAAATCATTGCACAGTCATCATTATTTCCACTCTTACGTCGAGCAAATAAATGATTCCTGTTCTTTGTGGGATGGAGGATGGATATGTAGATGCTGAATAAAGGTTTATGAGCTGGTTTAAATTAACTGTGGACAGACAGGTTTATTTTTTAAATGTTTTCAAAATTCTAAGCAATATATCTATTAATTTACATTCTACGGAGTCAAGACCAGTATCTGAATATGTGATCATATTTTTTTCAGCAGCTTTTTCCAAGTTTAAGACAAATGAAAGATGTGAACTGGGGGTGGAGGGGAGTGAATTAGGATGTATTAGTCTACTCTCACGCTGCTATAAAGAACTGCCTGAGAATCACTTGAGGTCAGGAGTTTGAGATCAGTCTGGCCAACATGGTGAAACCCCATCTCTACACAAAAATTAGCCAGGCATGGTGGTGGGCACCTGTAATCCCAGCTACTAGGGAGGCTGAGGTGGGAGAATTGCTTGAAGCCAGGAGACAGAGGCTGCAGTAAGCTGAGATCACACCACTGCACTCAAGCCTGGGCAACAGAGCTAGACTCCATCTAAAAAAAAAACTGAGATTGGGTAATTTATAAAGGAAAGGGATTTAATTCACTCACAGTTCCACATGGCTGGGGAGTTCCCAGGAAACTTACAATCATGGCAAAAGAGGAAGCAGGCACGTCTTACATGGTGGCACGTGAGAGAAGTGAAGCGAAGGGGGAAGAGCCCCTTATTAAACCATCAGATCTCATGAGAACTCACTCACTATCACAAGAACAGAATGGGAGAAACATTCCCCATGATCCTGTCACCTCCCATCAGGTCTCTCCCCCAACAGCTGTGGATTACAATTCCAGATGAGATTTGGGTAGGGACACAAAGCCTAACCCTCTCATAGGATAATTCAAATGCTGCCATGGCCAAACGGAACTGAACAAGTTCCTTTCCGGTCCCATCCTCTGAGCCAACAAGATTTCCTACAATTCCTTATAGGAAAGCAATAGTCATTATGAAATTCACACACCTAGAAAAGCAGAAGGTGAGACGGTGCCATTACTTCTTGAAACCATGACACTGATTCCCGTTTCCACAAAGGGCACAGAGAAGTCCACCACTTCAGAACGTTCCTCATTGATGGTGAGAGAACCAACCGCCATGACCGGCCACTGCACTCCAGCCTAGGCGACAGGCAAAAAAAAAAAAAAAAAAAAAAAGAAAAGGAAAGAAGAAGAACAGTACCTTTACTTTTCCTGCCAACATTCCTGAGGACTGCAGGCACTTTGTCTGAATAAGAGTCCAGAGGATGAAAAGATAACTTACTTCACCGATCATTCCATTCCACACATTGTTAACTTTCTTGCCGTGCTTCCCATTGGTCACCAGGTAGAGGTCGTAAGTAAACTTCACAGTTCTGGAAAGCTTCTTCAGAATATCAATGCAGAACCCCTTGCAGCATTTCTTCACATTCATCCCCTCATTGGTTGAATTGCTGTAAAGAAAAATCCCAGGACCACAGAATGTTAGCACTGGAAGGTTTGTTCACAATCATTAGCTGTACTCTTCTCCTATTTTTCAGATGAGTAAACTGAAGTTTAAAAAGGGGAAGTGGCTTTCCCAAGGACCCACAGTGAGTATATGACAGCAAAAGCAGAAAGTGTCCTTAATTATAGCAGTTATCATGACAAGAGCTAACACTTACTGAGTAATTACTATTTGCTAGGCACTATCCTAAAGGCTTTATACTAATTGTCGAATTAATCTCCATAACATTTTCTGAATTAGGTGATATTTGTATACCCATTAAACAGGTAAAAATTACCAACTCTTAAATTTTTAAGAGTTTATAACATATACAATTTTAGACTAGAGTTTAGTCATCTGATCTAAACTGTGTCATAAAAACTTATTAGAGAATGGAAGAGAGGAGGATGTGAAATTCTCAGAGAAAGCAGGGTTTTGCTTCATTTTATAATTACAGAGGCTTGAAACCAAAGGGGAGAAGTGAAGGTACCCAGATAACACCTCAACCAAGAATCAGGAGACCTGGGTTCTATTCCATGCCTGAGTTTGTGGACCGAAATTCTCTTGATAGAGCCAAATGTTACATGAGGGCTCATTAATAATGTCTTCCCTATCTACATATGTGACACGTAGTATAAAAGGAAACTCCTCTAAAAACAAAGTCCTTGATCAGGTAAAAGCCCTATAAAAATTTAAGCTATCTTAAAGGCTATTGTATACTCTACCAAGGCTATACTTATTGTTTTAGACCAGCCACCTTGCTGTATTCACCTGAACAAGACATATTCAAAGGACACCCTTGCAAACCAGAAAAATACCTTCAAAAAGAAAGGAGGCTGGGTATGGTGGCTCACACCTATAATCCCAGCACTTTGGGAGGCCGAGGCGGGTGGATCACCTGAGGTCAGGAGTTCAAGACCAGCCTGGCCAACATGGCGAAACCCTGTCTCTACTAAAAATACAAAAATTAGCCAGGCATGGTGGCAGGGGCTTGTAGTTCCAGATACTCAGGAGGCTGAGGGATGAGAATGACTTGAACCCAGGAGGCAGAGGCTGTAGTGAGCCAAGATCATGGCATTGCACTCAAGCCTGGGTGACAAGAGTGAAGAAAGAGAGAGAAAGAAAGAAAGAGAGAAAGAGAGGAAGGGAGGAAGGGAGGAAGGGAGGAAGGGAGGAAAGGAGGAAAGGAGGAAAGGAGGAAAGAAAGAAAGAAGGAAGGAAAGAAAGAAAGAGAAAGAAAGAAAGAAAGAGAGAGAGAGAGAAAGAAAGGAAGGAAGGAAGGAAGGAAGGAAGGAAGGAAAGAAAGAAAGAGAAAGAAAGAAAGAAAAAGAAAGAAAGAAGGAAAGAAAAGGAAGAAAGGAAGGAGAAAGAAAAGAAGGAAGGAGAAAGAAAGAAAAGGGAAGGAAAAAAAAGGTAGGAAGGAAGGAGAGAGAGAAAAGAGAAAAGAAAGGAAATACTGGTCTATCCAACTGCTAGCAAAAAGTACTTACACAACTCACATAAGATCAAGGCCTTTCTGGGCAATATGCTTGATTAATGGATATCCCATTAGCTCAACCCTGTCTTTGAGTCATGCATTTCATGAATACGTTCTCTGTTTGAATATCCCATTTTTGGCACATCCACACATTGAAGTGTTACCTAAGCACTAAAGTGATGTCTATGGAAATCCAACATCATCACAGGAAAATTCTTATGTTTCCATGTCATATGAAAGAAGTAGGTTACACAGTAGTGCAAACAGAATAATCACAGCTATATAAAAGCAGATGAGCTTATGAAATAACTGTATGGAAAAACAATGAAATATGAAGCATAGGACAGGCTCAGTGGCTCTTTCCTGTAATCTCAGCACTTTGGGAAGCCAAGTTGGGTGGATCCCCTGAGGTTGGGAGTTTGAGACCAGCCTGGCCAACATGGAAAAACTGTATTTTTACTAAAAATACAAAAATGAGCTGGGCATGGTGGCATGCACCTGTAATCCCAGCTATGTAGGAGGCATAAGAATAGCTTCAACCTGGGAGGCAGAGGTTGCAGTGAGCCAAGATCATACCACTGCACTCCAGCCTAGGTGACGGAGTGAGACTCTATTGAAACAAAGGAAAGGAAAGGAGAGAAGAGGGGAGGGGAGGAGAGGGGAGGGAAGAAAGTAAAGAGAGAGAGGGAAAGAAGAAAAGAAAAGAAAGGAAAAGAAAGGAAGAAAAGAAAGAAAGGGAGAGAAAGAGGGAGACAGAAAAAGAGAGAAAGAGGGAGGGAGGGAGGGAAGGAAGGAAAGAAAGAAGAAAAGAAAAGAGAAAAAGGAAAAGAAAGAAGGAAAGAAAGGGAGAGAAAGAGAGAGAGGGAGGGAGGGAAAGGAAGGAAGGAAGGAAAAAAGAAAAAAGAAAGAGAAAGGAAGGAAGGAAGAAAGAAGCAAGTATAGCTATTTTGGAATGGAAAAACATGTTTTCTTTTTTATATTTTTAGGTTTTTTACCCCAAATTATCTAGTAAGTACATATTACTTATGTAATTGCCAACACACACACATCAAACAACATTGATTTGTATGATATACATCATCTCTATATCCATGAAGGTAGGCAGATTTGACAGAACAATTTTTTTAAGAGACACACTCTTGCTCTGTTACCCAGACCGGGTTGCAGTGATGCGATCATGGCTCACTCCAGCCTGGACCTCCTGGCCTCAAGTGATACTCCCACTTTGGCCTTTCAAAGTGCTGGAATTACAGGTGTGAGCCACCATACTCAAGTGGGAAAACATAATTTTGAGTAACAGAAGTGGGTTGTAAATGACACCTGCTTATCAATGCTTTCCTTTATCTCAGGATCAAAGACTGCCTGTCTTGAATCACTCTCTTCACCATTGCACCCCACCCCCACATCCTGTCAGTGATTTGTACTCAACCACTCTGCTTCTGTCAGCCCAGACCACCATAGAGACTTTAGTCTCTTGCCTAGAGGCTGGATGACCTGCTGTGATCCAGCATCCTTAGCATGGGGGTAGCAGGAGGCCACATCCGTGTATATTTGCATGTGATGATTAGTGACCTCAACACTGTACAGTCATGGGGTATGTGCCAGCTCCATCTCCACCAATTAGCCAGAATGGAGGGGGTTGGGCTAGAGTTAAAACTGCCACAAATATGATAGAAATGTGTCCTAAGTACACTAAAGTTGATGGAATGTCCAGATACTACTTCCTTCTCAATATACATGGCTCTGAAAAATGTGTCAAAATCGAATTCTCTCTTTTTCTTTCTGGTCGCTGTTGGCCATGCACTGACACTCTTTCCCCACCTTTGTTCATTTTTATCACCTTCATTCTATGTTCCTTCCCTTCTTCCCCTGTCACAGGCTCTTCCTTCACCTGGTCAAGATTTCTGGGAGATTAGACAGAAATTTTAGATGCTCCAGGTTTAAGATTAAGGGTCACGGGCATATAGTGGCATTCTTTGGTCTCCCTGGAAACCTCAGCCAGTTTATGAGTTATCTCACCCATATCCCTGAACACCAGGTGTATTTCTAAATACAAATGATCATTGATGCATTTTCATCCAACAAGTACCCACTAAGTGTCTACTGTGCACAAGACATGGAACTGGGCCCTGGGGACACAGGATGAAAAAGGCATGCAGCAAATTCAATAGTTGAATTTATCACAGTAATTATGGAATTGCAGACCAGCTTGTAATTGGGAACGTCTGTTGGTTCCTATTACAGCCCTTGTGTGGGCGTGCAGGGGATGTGACTTAACTACACAGACTGAGAAATGGTCCCCATGTGATCTCTCTCAGTGCTCCACCACCACCCAAGAGAGGGAATGACTCATAAAAACAAATATGGGGAAAGGGATCCAATAAATTGTCCAGTTTACCAGCTCTACAATTTCCCAGTATAGCCAGTGGATACAAGCACAGCCATGCGACTCAGAGCTGTGTCCAGGTCCTGGGTTGGCTCCTGTCCACCATGGAGACTCAGACTAATCTCATCCAGCACTTAAAAATAAATTTCCTTTCTTCCCACCAACGATTTGACAGTTTGGGAGCTTAATTGACAGTATGGCCATTTCTCGCTACACATCAGGCCAAATGATTTTTCCAATTTTCTCTGCATGTCTTTATCACCCAACTAACAGAGCAGAGAGAAAGATTTCTCAGCTCATTTCTTGTTACCTGGTATTCTTAGAAGACCCCACTATTTATCAGAAGTGAGAAACAAAAAAGTTTCATACAATCACGTTGTCTAACAGGAATCCTTTTTGCAACTGATCAGCCTGTCTCAAAGACGTTCCCTGTAGGAAATGCAATTGATCTAATCTTCTTTAACGTTGGGATTAGTGGATCCTAGCAATTCTCTATTGCTCTCACATGAGTCAAAGACTTTCATTTCATCTAGACACACAGTAAACTCCTCATATCCCCAAGTGGAAGAAGGAAAGCTGCAAGCTACTGTCTCCTCACGGAAACCAAAAACGTGAATTTGAACCTGTTAAGCTGTTGATAGTCTTCAGTAGAAAAGTCAATTCTTTTAAAGACAGCAACTTATTTTGATTTCTTTTCTTCATACAAATGTGACTCAGGACTTGGGGATCTACTTGTTTTCAGCTCCAGGGCTTTGGATTTTAAAGGCTCTAAACTCCTGTTATTGATTCTGGAACACAAGGGGCCTCATTTGATTACCCTATTGAAACACGGAGGGTATTGTTATCATAGAGGAGGTGTCCCACTGAGGTTAGACTCTGCTTTCTGCCAGCCACTTTGCTTTCTTCGTCGGGCTAAGTTCTGCTCAAAGAACACCCACCCAAATTAGAACATCCTCTGACAACGTTCCCACATCATCTCCTCTGTCCTCCTTGTAACTCATCACTCTCTAGCATTGCACTGGGTTTCCTTCTGTTTCCCAAACTCCCAAGCTTCTTTCCTCCCCAGGGCCTTTGCACCTGCCATTGTCTCTACCTGGAAGGCTTTCCCCAGATCTTCACATGTGTGGCTCCTTTTCATCCTGTATATATCACCTTAAACCTTACCTGTGTGAGCTGAAGTAACCCCACATACCCCGATTTCCTCTCTTCTCATACCACTCTCTTTCTATTCATCACAAGGTTTATTACAACATGGGGTTGTCCATTTCTTCTTGGTTGAATTGTTTTCTAACCACGTATGTTCCATGATGGAAAGGTCCTAGTCTTTTGCTCTCCCTGTTCATCAATGTATCTCCTGTGCCCAGCAATGTGCCTAACATGTAAACTGTGCTTAATGCACATTCATTCATTCTGTATTAAAACAATTTTATTTATAACAATGTTGGTCTTATTTCACTGTAAAGGAATTCAGCAAAAATCATTAAAACATTCATGACCCCAAAACATGGTCTGTTTCACACAATTATGAATCATGATGAATCATGAATCATGAATCACGGGATGTACACTTGTCCTTCCTTGGTGGGCGCCACCTCTTCCTCATCTCCAGGAGAGTGGAGGCTGGGGGACTGCTTATCAAAAAAAAGCTTCATCCCAGGGAGCCACAGTGGGGACACCGGAGAAAGGAAAGGCCTTTTTAGGAGGGGCATATTTATTTATTCCATGATGTATTCAGGATTTCAACTTCAAAGAGGCTGACATTTGTGACCCCACTGAAAACTTTCTCCAAACCAAAATAGGCCCTCATAGTACATTTAGCAATTACATATTATATCTTTAAAATCCTGATCTAAAGGATTGAGATCTGGGGACTTGCATCTGGTGTGTTAATGGCTGAGACTGAAGTTTGAAACGAGGAAGTAAAAATCTCTCTTCCTAGTCATGAAACAAACATTGGTGTCATGCTGTGCCCTTGTAACTGAGGGTGCAAATATTAGTAAGTCACATTCCCTATATGTAGGTGGCTCAGAAGCCAGGGAGAAGACAGATACACTAGACACTGTACAGACAGGTGATGAGGGTAGAGAGAGACAGACTCAGGTACTGTGGAAGTAGGAAGAGCTAACCCAGCTTGGGATGCAGGAGCTACACTTAAAGGATGAGTAAGAAGTAGGTAAAAGAAACAAATCAGAAAGAACTCAGAAAAAAAATAAAGTTTCCATCCAACAGCAGGCCTTTTTCTTCTGTGAGTCGCCTATGAGGTGGTGTTTTTGCTTATGTTTGAATTAGGAAATACCAGGATCAGGGCCTCGGAGTTGGCCATGGAGGTTTCTGTGTCCCCAGAGGGTTTGTAGATTAAGGGGGACCTCATAATAGACAATGCCAGCTCTTTCTTCAATCATAACAAAAAGAGAAATGACACAGATGCAGTGCCTGCTAGCTGCTGCTGAGCTGAGAAACGGCCAGAAGTTCCATTTGCACCTGGATTGTATCAGAAAGTAACATGCAAGGTGTGTGTTCACTCCCAAATGGAGAGATGTTTTTCACATTTTTGAGAAGCACGAATCTGGGATCTATAAAGGAGATGGAAGGAAGAAGAATGTGTGGGCGAAAGCGAAGGGACAGCCAGAAAAGTGGAAATGAGATAATTATTTTTAAAAAGACTAAAGGAAACTGGACACAGTGGCTCACATCTGTAATCCCAGTGACTCAGGAGGCCAAGGCACGAGGATCACTTAAGGTCAGGAGCTTGAGACCAGCCTTAGTAACACAGCAAGACCCCTGTCTCTAAAAAAAATTAATTAAAAAATGATCCAGACTTGGTGGCGCAGGCCTGTAGTCTCAGCTATTCAGGAGGCTGGGGTGAGAGGATCGCTTGAGCCTAGGAGTTCAAGAACGCAGTGAGCTGTGATCATACCACTGCACTCCACCCTGGGGGAGTGCAAGATCCTGTCATTATATATAAAAAAAAAAAGTTTTATATATTTTTGACATACAAAAATATATAATGTTTTATACATTTTCAACATATAAAATATGTTTTATATATTTTTACATATAAAAATATGTTTTATACATTTTTAACATACAAAAATGTTTTATACATTTTTAACATAAAAAATATGTTTTATACATTTTTAACATAAAAATGTTTTATAAATTTTTTAACATAAAAATATGTTTTATATATTTTAACAAAAATGTATGTTTTATATACGTTTAATATATAAAATATATTGGTTTCCATATTTTTAATATATGAAAATATGTTTATATTTTAACATATAAACTATGTAGTTTATATACAAACTACGTATTTTATGTAAAATGTATTTTATATACAAACTACGTAGTTTATATATAAATACATAGTTTATTTTTTTATATATATATTTTATATATATAGTTTATATATATATAAACTATATAGTTTATATATAAAATAGTTTATATATAAAATATATAAAAATATATGCTTTATGTATTTCAATATGTAAAAATGTATAATGTTTTATATATTTCTATTTTCATTTCTTCATTTATTTTTGAGTCAGAGTCTCGCTCTGTCACCTAGGCTGGAGTGTAGTGGCTCGATCTCGACTTATCGCAACCTCCACCTCCCAGATTCAAGTGATTCTCATGCTTCAGCCTCCTGAGTAGCTGGGATCACAGGTGGCTACCACCATACCTGGCTAGTTTTTGTATTTTTAACAAAGACAGGGTTTAGCCATGTTGCCTAGGCTGGCTTCAACTCCTGACCTCAAGTAATCTGCCCAGCCTGGCCTCCCAAACTGCTGAGATTATAGACGTGCATTACTGTGTCCAGCTATATATATTTTTAATATATGAAAAATACAATGTACTTATCTTTTAATGGTATAAAATTATGTTTTACAGTATATTTGAAGTAAGAAAAAATATTTATAAAGGTATATAAAAGATGCAATATGTTATATAATAATTTTATAAGTAATTTTATATACATAAAAATATATATTTTATATTTTAATACATAAAAATATATGATTCTTATGAGATTTGTTGAAATATATAAAATATATAATCTCACATATTTAATATATAAACATATTTCTATTTTAATACATAAATATGTTTTCTATATTAAAAATATAAAGATATTTTTTGAATATGTTTGTTCAAAAATAAATAAATGAATAAATTAAATTAAACTAGAAATACTGAAGGGGAGGATCGATTCAACATAAGGGTTAAAAACATGTCTGTGGAGTCAGTTGGACCACTGTTTAACTCCTACCTCTTCCATTTCCTAGCTAGATGGCTTTGAACATGTTTCATAATCTTCCCATAAGTTGGTTTTATTATATTTACAACGGGCAAAACTACCCACCTCATATTGCTGGTGGAATTAAATGAATGCAAGTTTGGCACATCTCCAGGAATTTATCTAAGTCTTTTTAAAATTGATTATTGTATTATACCTACTATAATGGAGTGTATTTTCTATGACATTTTATGATTCAAGTACAGATATTGTTACTATCGATGATCCAAGCTATTTCAAAGGGTTGGGCACATTCAGGCGACAGCATCCCTGCCACTCACTTGATTTTGACGAACTTCCGACACGGCACAGTGTTCCTCACACACGTCTCGGTCAGGGGGTCTATATCTTCCACGATGACGAACGGGGCCTCCTCCAGGGTGACGATGCTGAGATGGTTGTCATCCGGCTCACAGTCGGAGAAGGACTTGTACCTGGGCCACACGGCGTGCCTCAGGCTCAGCGTCTGGTTCTCCCACTTGCCCACCTGCAGCACAAACACAAAGACACAGCTGTACTTTCTTCCCCCGCTGATTTCTGGAGAGGCAAATCCTTTCCCTGCCGGAGACATCCATCCGTCTCAAGGGTCTTTCTGCCTCATACCTCAACATATGCATCTACTTCTGTGCTAAGACAAACGGGCATAAAGAGAAAACAGAATATGGGGCAGTTCTCCATTCCAGCTCCCCTCATCCCCAGAGGAATCAAACTGCATCTTGGGAGGTGGTGCCCAGGCACTGATACCTTTAGAGACCCGCAGGTGGTTGTAACGTTCTGCCAGAGTTCAGGACCACGGACGGCAAGGAAACAGCACAGACTTTTAGAATCAGAGAGGTCTGGGTTTGATTCTCCAGCTGTACCACTTACTAGCTGTACAACTCTAGGCAAGCTCTTAATCCTAAGATCTTCTGTTTTCTCATCTGTATAACGAACACGACTCCCCCTACTTCTTAAGAATGCCATGGGAATTCAATAAGGCAGTGCATGAAAGGCAAAAGCACAGTGCTTGGCACATCGTAGGGACTCCATATTGTTTTTAAGTATAAAGAAAAGAAAGTGAAAAGGAGAAAGAAATAAAAAAGGTACTAAGATGAAGGGAAAGAGAAAAAGGGAGAGGAAGATGAAGCTGGAGAGTGAAAAGAAGAGGAGGAGGACTGAGATAACACACGGGAGACATGGAGCAGGTGGGGAAATTGAAAGCATCGTTTTGACCCTAGATACGGTTCTATTTAAGTTGCAAATTAAGGTGAACTTTTATTAATCCTGCACAGAGGGGAGACTGTTACTGCTTAGCGTACATCAAGACCTGTCAAAATAGAATCGATTGTATTCCCTCGGAGCAGCAGTCGGCATCTTAGTGCAATCAAATTGAAGGCTGTATATTTTGAACCTTAATTTTATTTGACAGCTTATTGGCACTATTCACATACACGCCGGGAGGAAGCTGCCCCCGCGCTGCTCTTTCTCCCTTCTCCTCCTGCTCCCACACGCGATTGCTTGACACCACAGGTCACCGCTTTATGCGTAATACCAGCCTGGAGGAAAACACCTCGTCTGAAAAGCTAAGTGCCAAATCCAGGCTTGTCTGTGTTGACATGACCCACTCACCTCTCCTCCTGTAACGTTTAAGTGTCACCAGAAATGAATCTCAAGCCCTTAAAGAGAATTCAAACATGCCGGACACCAGGAGAGGTGATAGGGTGGGAGGAGAGAAGAGAATCAGTGCTCTCTAAGATTACCTCATCATATGGGCTGGAAAATGTTTGCTGGCTGTGAAGAAGCATTTCCTGTGGCTAATTACAAAATTGTCCAGCATTGCTGATACATTTCTTTTTAAGATAGGATGGCAAGTACAGCAATTTGGTTAAACACATACACATTGTTCATTTATTCATGCTATGATATGTAACAGGCTGGGGAGAATGTTACACCCATCAAATTCTTCATTCATGCGACATAGATTTATTGAAGACCTACTATGTCCCAGTGCCAGCCTGGGAATAATGATGGCTAAAACAGAATGGCTTTTGCCTTCTTGGAACTGTCAGTCAGTTGTATGACATAGATCAAAGCAAAAATACTAAAATATGCAAATAGACAAAGAAATATACAAGTTTTCCCTTTTGGAACATATTATACCAATCCCTTTTCTTTCCATTTGCCTTGGAAGTCTCAAACACAACCTTCAAGAGAAGTTGGAGAGTTCAGTGGGTAAGAGAATGGCTTTTGAAGTCGAACAGAACTAGGTGTAAATCCTGGCTTCATCCACTAGCTGAGTAGCCTTGGGAAAGTCATTCAACATCTCTGAGCTTTACTTTCTCCATTTGTAAAATGAAAAGAGCAACAGGGTATGACCTTAAGGACTGCAGTAAGGTTTGAATGAGCCAAAAAGTACCAAAAATATAGAGCACAGAACCTGACATGGCATGTAACACACATGGTGGCTATTATTTTACTATTGCTGTTGTCGTTAGCATTTAAGATACAGCTGAACTATCACCTTATCTGTAAAATCATTCCTGCTTCCCTAGTAATATAGAACTTTGCACATACCTCCACCATAGTGTTTTAATATTATAATTTTAATGACATAACTTTTTAGCACTTCTGTATAGTCAGGAAATGTGCCAATATCACCACTTAGTTTAATTCCTACAAATTCTACATGGTAAGCATTATTATTCCAACTTCATAGTTCAGGAAACTGAAATACAGAGAGGTTATGTGACTTGCACAAACTCACACAACAAGTAAGTGGTGGAACCAGAGTTATATCATGGGGCTTCTTTCTGAACCCAAAGGTGCTTTCTCACTATGTACCTAGTGCTTCTGTGAATTGAGCTGCAGGAACCACATTATAGCTCCAACACTCTTCCTTCCTTGCAGACATGTTTCTTAAAGTCCCAAGATAATGTAAATTAAGGCAAAGGCTAGCAGAATCTTTGATGATGTCATTGACCACATCACAACCCCCACACCATGGGAGTCAGGCAAATGTTTCAGTCTAACGTTGACTCAAGGAAAGTTGAAAAGGTTTATTAGCGCCAAGAGTGCAATAACTTCCTAAATCTTCTCCAAGTTCTACTCCCCATTCCTGACACATCCAAGTAAAGTATCCATCGGTCAGCCAAGGAGGTTGAAGGTGAGTGGTAGGTGGAGAGAACTCGATCAGGAGCTGAAACTGCTGTGTCAATGTTGCCTTAGATCCTAAGAGCTCTTATCTTCTTCTCTGATCTGATAGGCCCCTCAGCACCCCACTGCAAACACCAAAAATCTCAACTACTAAATTGTATATACCAGATAAAGGAGAACAGACATTCTTCACTTTCCCTGCCCATATTCCTATTTACAAGGGACTATAACTGAGTCCAGTGTTTGTAGACAGGTTTAGCAGAGTCATTCATTCCATAAATATGTGTTGAGTGGTTACTAGGTTCCAAGCACTGAGCTAGACACTGAGAATACTGTAACTTAAGTGATAAAATGTTTGCTTGCATGAAATTTTTGTGCTAATTGAGAAGACACATGAGTCAAATGATTACACAAAAACATATGTTCATACAAACTGGGAGGAAGAAATGAAACACGGGTCTAAGAAAGCATATAGGAGAAAAGATATCAGAGACGTCTTCCCTGAGGAGGTGACACTTAAGTTGAAATTGGAAATTCAGGATGAATTGGACCATGGCAGTTGTGGGAAGGAATTGTGGAGGAGCAGAGAAAGAAAGAGCACTTCAGATAGGTGGAGACCAGAAGATGCAAAGCCTTGTAGGCTCTATTAAGAAGTTAGGATTTATCGCTTCTCGGCCTTTTGGCTAAGATCAAGTGAAGAAGTTGGGATTTGCCATAAGGGTTTGCTATAGACTGAATGTTTGTGTTCCTCCAAAATTCATAGGTTGAAATCCTAACCCCTAATGTGGTGGTGTTAGGGGGAGGGGTCTTTGGGAGGTGATTAGGTCATGAAGGTGGAGCCCTCATGAATGGTATTAGTGCTTTTATGAAAGGCCCCAGAGAGACCCATTGCCTTTTCCACCATGTGAGGATGCAACAAGACGACTGCTGTCTATGAACCAGGACGCAGCTCTCACCAGACACTAAATCTGCTGGCACCTTGATTTGGACTTCCCAGTCTCCAGAAGCATGAGAAACAAGTTTCTGTGGTTTATAAGCCAATCAGTCTATGGTATTCTGTTATAGCAACCCAAATGGACTAAGAGTCAATCTAGTTCAATGGTCAGAATGGAAAAAGATTTATAGAAGTTACCATGGATATATGTCCATATATAACCTGCCTGAAGGTGGAAGCTTCTTTGCCTATTCCAATTTTTTTTTATTATGGAAATGTTTAAATGTATACAAGAGTAGAATCATATAATGAACCTCCATATTCCCAACATCCAGCATCAATAATTAGTACTCAAGACCAATCTTGTTTCATTTATACTCCCACTCACTCCTTCCATATTACAGCAAAGAAACCCACATCATATAATTTATTCATAAATCCTTAATTTGATTTAAATATCTAAACCTCATTTGCTTCACAATGTTATACCTCAATAATCTACAACAATCTATGTGTTTATGTATATGTTTTACTTATGAGACTATGATTTCCCAGCCTAGTAGGAATTTTATACGCATAATGATTGGTTTCTATGTCCACAGCTTCTAACTCAGGGAATGCCACATGGAGGAACTTAATGGGTAGTTTTTGGTGGAGTGAATAAACATGCAGCCTGTATTTTTCAAATGTGTATGAGTCAGAAAATGTTAGAATGATTAATGTGTCCATATGTGCCTCAGCTTTGGAATCCTGTACCCTAGGCAAAATATGGAAGTATCAAAGACATGTATTCTCTCCCTTGCTCTTACTGCAACTTCAGCCCCCCAGACCTAGAGCCATTGAGGGCAGCTGTCTGAATAGCCTCTGAGTATTAAATGTCCCCAGAGAAAGCAAATATCATCATCCTAACACCATATAAAAAGGGACTCCAGTCACTCTGATGTATTCAGGGAGAAAGTAAGAACCAATGGGTTAAATCCTGAAGACCTCAGTTTCAATTGTCATATTGTCTCTGCTTGTCTCCATTTCACAGTGGCATGGAGTATGTATGCTCCAAGTGCCTTTATTTAGAAGTTATATCCAAAATGGAAGAACCCTGTGCACTCTGAAGATGGCAGCCAACAATTTCTCTGCTCCCACCTTGGAACTGATGGTGACTCTTGCTATTCTCTAAACTAGACCTTTTTCCTGTTCCCAATCCCCTTCATAAAAGTGAACACCACAGTCAGCTGAGTCTGTAACTTTAGATCAGCAGTCCTGACCCACATAAGCTATTCTGAACAGTGAGCCAGGGTTGCACATTTCCTCCAGCAGTGCTTCCAGGAGTAAGGTTTCAATCCATTTCCTCCAGCAGTGCTTCCAGGAGTAAGGTTTCAATGCATCAGAGCAAGTGAAATCATACAGTCATTGTCAATCACGTG